GCTAGCTTTTTCGCTTTCTCTCTCTACTTTCTCTCTCTTATCCTGATTCTTTCTGACGGTGGTGCGATCTAGCTTAGATTCATCGGCGCTGCTTTTCCGACGAATTTCTTTTAATTGGTGAAGCAATATCTTTCATTATTCCGTTGATTTAATGGGAGCATCTTCCAAATCGGATAGATTGAAGGACGTGAAGGTTAAACCTCCGGATAAAAGTGCTGCAGTTCGTTATACAAAAACTGAAATGGAGGTGAATGATCTTGTTCCTCCTGGGGTAATTGAACAATCATCTGCCACGATCTATAAAGCTCGTCGCAAACCAAGTGTGACTGGAGCTGTTGCATCTGGGATTAGCAAAGCTGGATGGAAAATGGAGGGGAAATCTTTCAGGATTAAGAACAGAGCTAGGAAGAAGGTGGATATATTAGCTCCGATGGATACGGAAGAGTTCTTCAATGAAGATGGTTCAGAGGAGGAAACGGGAGAAGAATCGGAATCTGTCTCAGTTTGGGAGTCGGATTCTAACATTTCTATTCCTGGATCTGAAGGAAAGGAGAAGGAATTGAAGATAGGGTTGTCTGGTGATTCTAAAAAGGTAAGTTCTCATGTTGTTTCTATCCCAACTGGTAATACTGCTAATTTGATGAGAAATTGGGATGGGTTGATGATGAGTAATGAAGTTTTGAGTCCAATCTCTGAATTGAAGAATGTTATTAGTGAAATGGTTAATGTGAACCCTACCATATCGGTGATGGATGATAAAATTCAGAATAACACTAATAGGAAGATAATGAAGTTGTGAAGATTATAACTGATGGGGAGAAAAGGGCTAATAATAATGAAGATTTCATTCCAGGAGTTGGATTTCAATTTCTGAGTGAATTGAAGGAAGAAGGACAGGTGGAAAAGGGAGTTGAGAAGACTATGGGGAAAGATTTAGATAGTGAGAAGAATCAGAAAATGGATGTTGATATGTCAAATTTGGAAAAGAAAGACAAGGAGATAGAAGGTAATACTGATGATGATGAGAATACTGACGAGGAAGGGGATAATGATTCAAGTGAGGATGATACTAGTGGGGATGAGGAAATTGAAATAGAAGAAGAGGTTAATGCTAAGAGTAATATGGATACTAGCTGCAATGAGAAGTCAGGTACTGTTATTAATAGCATTAATTTACTTCCTTCTATTTTGGGAAATGCTAAGATTAGCAATAAGGAGGAAGGAGGAATGCAGGGGAATGTGATGAACTCTTATGCTGGTGTGTTAAAAGGTAATAGACATAAGGGTAAGATTGATGTTAGATTCATTCCAGGGGAGAAAGGGGAAGAGGATGGTCCTGTTATAATTCCAATAGAGAATCTAAAGAATGCAAGTATTCCTTTTACTAATACTCTTTATGGTTATATGATTGACAAGAAGTTGGCGTTTCCTGTAATTCAGAAAGAAGTTAGAAGACTTGGAAGAATGTGGGTTTGGAAGAGGTATTCATGAACAGCAAAGGATTTTTCTTCTTTAAATTCAGTGATGAAAAGGGGATGTTATCTGTTTTGGAGGGTAGTCCTTGGTTAATGTTTAATAATATGCCTTTATTTCTTCAACGATGGAGACCTGGTTTGACATTAACTAAGAACAAGCATGATAAAATTCCTGTTTGGATTAAAATATTTGATTTGCCCTTGGAAGTTTGGAGTGGTGAAAACTTATGTAGAATTGCTAGTAAGATAGGTATTCCTTTGGCTTTTGATTCCTTTACTGAGGATATGTGTTTGGAACATAAAGGAAGGAATGCTTATGCTAGAATTCTTGTTGAAATGGCAGCTGGGAAGGAATGGAGAAAGAAGATTGATATAGCTACTTGGGATTTTGTCTCTAATTCTGCTGTGATTCAAAGTTTTGATGTTGAATATGCTTGGATTCCTTCTAGATGTAATCATTGTAAAGTCTATGGGCATGTGGATAAAGTTTGTGCTGCTGCTATGAATGTTGAGAAGGAGGATAATAATGGAGAAGTGAGAAATTTAAAGAATAATAAAGGGAAGGAAGTAGTTAATGGGGATGGTTTCACAGAAGTTAAATATAAAAAGGTAATGGGTAACAATGATGGTGAAGGCACTAGCAAGTCTCAAGAGGGTTATAATCAATTGAATAATATGAAGAATAATGGGAAGAATGGGAATTGGAGAAGGAGTATTTTCTCTAAAGGCAATAATGGGAACAGAGGTGGAAATGGTAAAGGGCAAAATTGGAATTGGAGTAATAAAGGAGTAAGTAACTGGAATTTAGAAAAGAATAGAAATTATGAGAAGTTTGTTAATGGGCAGGATGTTATAGGTAGTAGGGGTTGAAGGAGAATAATAAGCAGGAGGTTGTAGTTAAAAAGGATAATAAGGCAGAGATGGGCAATTTTAGTCTTGGTAGTGAGAATATAATAGGGGAGGGATTAAGTAATAAAAACAGTTTTGAAATCTTGGGAGAGATTGAAGAGGAAGTTTTGGATAAAATGGAAGAGGATAATAAGATTGTGAAGACAGTTGCTAATCAAAATGTTGATAGTGGTGATGCTGGAATGGGTTCTAATGATAGCAAGAATAACAAATTGATTTCTTCAATCAAGGGAGAGGGGAAGAAGAAAGGAAATGAAAGTAATAAAGTGAATAAAGATAAGTTGAAGTCGGATAATAATAGAAGTAAGATGGGGAGTTCTCAGGCATTTGAGGAGGTAAATGCCAAAAATACTATTAATTCCCAATGATGTCTGTTGGTGCTTGGAATGTTAGGGGATTGAATAAATCTGTTAAGCAGAAGGAGGTTATTGATGTTATTAGGTGTAATAACCTTGGTATTTGTGCTGTGATTGAATCTCATGTCAAAATCTTAAATCTCAAGAGTGTTTGTGCTAAGACTTTTGGACAATGGGATTGGGTTTCTAATAATAGTTGTTGTGAGGCTGGAACTAGGATCATAGTTGGATGGAATCCTAGAATTGTGGATGTGATGGTGATTTCTCAATCTAGACAAGTTATTCACTGTTATGTTAGATTCTGTGAATCTAATTATAGCATGTATTTGTCTTTTATTTACGCTGCTTCCAATTATCTGGATAGAAGAGATTTATGGGAGAATTTGAAGAAACATAAACTGGTGGTTAAAGAGGATGCTTGGGGATTATTAGGAGATTTCAATGTTGCTTTAAAACATTCGGAATATTCTGAAGGATGTTCTAGGTTTCCTAAAGGTGTTGAAGACTTTATTGAATGTATTAACTGTTTAGAAATTGAGGACTTGAATTCGACTGGTTTTCAATTTACTTGGAATAAAACTCCTGCTGGAAGTATGGGCCTCCTGAAGAAACTGGATAGAGTGATGACTAATTTGAAGTTTGTTTCGGATTATCCTTTGGCTCATGCTATGTTCAAACCCTATAGAATTTCAGATCACTGTCCTGCTGTTCTTAATATACCATTGAGTAAAATGAGATGGCGACCTTCTTTCAGATTTGCTAATTTTATTACTGAGAAGGAAGAATTTTTACCTATGGTCAAGGAAGTTTGGGATGAAAACATTGAAGGGTTTTATATGTTAAAGGTTTGTCAGAAATTGAAAATTCTTAAAAAGCATTGTAGGGATCTTTGTAACAGCTACAGAGGATATGGGAAGCGAATTCATGAGTTAAGGAAAAAGCTGGAAAGTAAACAAGTGGAAATTGATTGTAATCCTTATGATTATAAGATTAGGAATGAGCATGCTGATCTTTTGTTCAAATTTAATGAAGCTTGTAATGATGAAGAGAAGCTTTTATTCCAAAGAGCTAAAATTAAATGGATTCAGGAAGGCGATAATAATACTAAGTTTTTTCATAGTATTGTGAAGAGCAGGGGCAATAAAAATAGAATTATGAAGGTTTTGGATGAAGATGGAAGATGGGTTAGTGGAATTGCTTTGAAGGATAAATTTGTTTTGTATTTCAAAAATTTCTTGGGGTGTAAGGATGATTCTGTTAAGCCGGAGTTAATTGAAGATATTTTCCAAAATAGGTTAGACAGTACTGATGCTACTAATATGATCAGAGTGGTGACAGATGAAGAAATTAAAGCAGCTATGTTTGAAATTGATGACAATCGTATTTTTGAATTAAGGCTATTGCTTAATATTGATTTCGACATGATTTATATGGTCGGTGATGTGTTTCGGAAAAAAAAAATATAGAAATCCAAACCAGTTAAACAATGAAAATACTCTTATAAATTTTAAGTTAAGACCCCAATGTTTAACAAATTAATGATTCTACATTTTCCAACGTATTAGCTTAATATTATACATAGTTGTGCTTAATATTATACATAGTTGTTACATAAATTATGTAACAACTTATAATAAAAGAAAGATATACATACATGTGTATACTAATAAGATTTTTCAAATCAATTATATATCCTCAAATATATATCCATTTATGGATAAAAGAAAACAAGCTAAATATATAGTATTTCTTCACATTCCAATTTAAGCAATGCATACATAAAATACATAGAAAAATTATTTAATTACAAATAATACAATAATAATAATGATATTAATAATAAACAATTACAATACTGATTTTACACTTATTTTACAAATTTTATTATATACAATTATGTACAACAAAATTGATCACTCGTGTGCACCCAAGTGCTTTTCACCTCTTCCTGAACACTCAAATTACACTTCACCTTTCTCCCTTCATCCCCACGTTTTCCTTTCACCTGCATTACAGCTCACACACAGTTCAACACAATTCACAGGCAGGTAAGGAAAGCACTGTATGGTATTGCTTCTACTTATCAAATACTAATTCACAAACAATCAAACAAAAATAAAACCCTTACAGAGAAAAAAAAAATTGATCGATCCTTTTGTATCTGCTTGCACCTTCATTCCCAACCAAGAACACCTCCAAATGGAAGTTTGATATTAAGTATCCTTTCCGGGTGATCTCACAATCCCGATTGTACTCCTCCTTCTCTATCAAATGAAAGAACAAAACAATTGTTTCTCCCTTCTTCAATTTCTTTGAATCACCCAAACCAAACAACCTAACGATTTCTGTCAAACAAAGAAACTCAAACACTTCTTTTGATCAATCATTCTACCAGTATCAATCATCATTTGTATGGTTGACAAATCAAAAAGAAAAGGAAAGAAAGAGGAACCTTACCTGTGTTCATAAGCTGCCTTCCCCGATCAACAAACAGCCGCCTACGGGCAGCCTTCGTCTTTCCTTCTTCAATCAAGCAAAGGATCGGAGATAGTGATTGCTCTATTGAGGCAGTCGACCTGCACCTCATTACTGCAACCACTGAGTCCGATGAAAACCAAAAACCACCGCCTCTACTTACCATTTTCCTTCATGGATCGCCACTTCTCAGTACATCCCTTCATCTTTCCTCAATCAAACACCACCGATCACCGTCTTCTTCTCCCTCCCTTCACCCTTCTCGCAAAACGGAAAAGAAGAAACGAAGACGAGGCTGTTGGAGCAGCCCCGTCACACCTATCTCCCCCTTCAGCCTAGTTTATAACCTGAGATACCCTATTCGCCATGGATCAGAAAGAAACAGACTTGCTGCCTCCACCTCCTCTTTCCCTTCCGCCGAGCAGAACCACCAAGGCCACAACAGCTTCGCCGTTTTTCCTCCTCCTCTTTGCGTCGCCCCGGAGACCATCATCTCTTTCAAATCGATCGACATCTATCGGACTCCTGCCGTCACTTGTCTGTTTTGTTCATAAACCACCACTGTAAGTGTTCAATCGACCACCACCATCGTGAAATTTCTACTTATGACGCTCATTCGATTTGCCTTCAGTCGGAATTGTGAGACCTAGGTCGTGGGTCTCGTTCCCATTTGTTTGAACTGAAAATAAACACGACTGGTAAATGAAGGGAACTGTTCAAACTTGAATCCCATTTAATTAAATATAACCTTTCAAGTTAGATGAATTTACGAAATCGGTCCCTCCTGTGAAATGATTTTCACCTAAGTCAAACTGCCATCAAAATAATCAAAAACAGACCCTCCCTTCGAAAATCCGAGCAAGATGGGTTCGAAAACTGTAATTTAGGCTGAGAATGTATAGTTTCAGTCCCTATCTTGTAAACAGATTACAAGATCAGTCCCTTGTTGAATGATTTTAGCAAAATCGATCCCTTGAAATTATTTGTATTAACAAAAACCATCCTACACTTAATAATTAATACCAAAAGTACTTTTCGGTTTTATTAGGTAATATAAATATACACGGTGGTTCGTGTTAAGGACGAGAAATGTCATGTAATAAATCTCATGACAAGTTTCTCAAAAGGAACCGACTTCGAACGATTGGAACTCATGCTTCAAGGGTGAGTGCTTACGGCCCTTTTTTAATATTATTTTGGGGGGGGGGGGGGGGGGGGGGGGAATACATGTGCCTATATATTTTGTTTATACAAATATATTACCTTTTATGCGAAAAACCTAGTTTATCAAAATATTATTATTTAACAATTTACTATATTGTTACGAATAAAGTAGTATAAATTTTCGTATACATATTATGGTTATTTTATTGTGAAATAACGATTTCACACAACAAATACTACATGATACAAGGTTTTATGATTTTTATATTATAACAAGTACGTTATGAAATTGTGTGGTATTTCAGTGGTTCAAGATATTACTATACATGTATATTTATATGTTTATATGCATAAAGTTTATACATGTACATGTGTTCATTAATTTGAAACATTCATTTTTAGTCTTATATGATATGCATACTACCAGTTTAAAGTATTTCAAAGTTTCAAGACTTCTATACATGAATACTTTTATGCATGGCTTTACACACATATACGAGTCCGTTATGTTGAAATACATATCTCTATAAAAGCGAGTAATTTATACTTTTATAAATACGTCTACCATACTCGGCTTTTACAAATGCTATACTTCGAAATTCATTATGCCCGGTACTTAACTATAATTAAGTTAGGGCTGAGAGTTATTCACAAACTTTTCGTTAATGGTTTTTGTCACACCCCGAAAACCAAAGGCGGAATACATTTCTGGGGTTGACTACCGTGTTGAGTATCAAATCCAATGTACATAGTAAGTAAAGTAAAACAAGCATTACATTACATAACAACAGTTTTACAGTTGTTTCAAAAGTAAAGTTTGTACAGTTGTGATACATAGTATATATAGACAAAATGTAACGGGTCTTCATGTACACCGTCTTCATGCAAAAGGATCTTCGGGTACCTGTTCTATCGCTGACCTGAGAACACAAGCGGTTTGAAAATCAGCATAAAGCTGGTGAGTTCATAAGCGGTTTTGTTGTACGAAAATGTATAGATTTCCTTTCTGTTTCTGAAATGTTATGTACACCAAGAAAATCCCGTATTTTCTTAAAAGTTGGTTATTGTTTCACAAATGTAAAGTATAGTAAGTTTGTACACTGAAAACATGTTTACTCATGTGAAAATGTATAGTTGGTTATCTGACTGGTTAAACTGTTCTGTTTACTTATCATGTGTTACCAGGAAAGTCCCATACTTTCCTTATTGTATGTTACAAATTGTAAAAGATGTAATGTTATCCATTCTGTGACTCTTTCTAGTTATGTAAGTGTTACCCAGGAAAGCCCCATGCTTTCCTGCATGTATGTATCTTATGTAAACGATGTAAAGATGTAAAAGATGTAATCGTGATTAGATTCCATGTTTTCCCCAGGAAGGTCCCGTACCTTCCTGAATGTTAGTTACAGTAAGTAAAAGATGTAAAAGATGTAAACGATGTATAAAGTAATCCATTATTACTGTAAGTAAATCTCTGTTATCCTAATTGCGAGTTCCATAACCATACAATAGACTGAAACCTGTGGCAATAAGTAGTCCACATGTGGCAATAAGTCGTCCACATACTTATGACTTTCGTCACCCTTGAACCATTTCGGTTCGGCTGTAGCTAGCAGCCAGGTGTGGGGTAGTCAGCCCCGTATAGATCTATACACTCAAGTCACGCTCTCTAAATACCAGAGATTCTGGTTATGGGTGTAGTCCTCCACTCGCGTAATCTGGGTGGAGTGTTCTCCGAGGACGTGTCTCCAATCATACAGGAATAACAAATTTACTAGTAATAATATGATAGTCCTCCACTCGTATATGTGTGGAGTGTTACCGAGGACAAAACAGTGTACAGGTATTATGTTCAAATGTTTTAATGTCATGCTTTTAACTGATAAATGTGGAAAACCATTTGTGAAATACATGTAAAACATACTAGTTTAAAGACTTATTTCACAAATATATGTTACGTGATCTGTATGTTCGATCTGTTATCAGTTGTATATCAGTTATAAAAGCATAAGAATATGAAACACACATTTGAAAACATGTTTTGAGTACAAGAATTCCCTTGTACTTTGCTTGTGTTCCCCCCTGAAAACAGTGAAAACAGTGAAAAAGGGTAGGGGTATGAACTCACCGGACTCGGAAACGTGTCGGTTTTGAATGCTAGACGTCGGTTCGGGGTTTGATTACTCGCGATGACCCTATGTAAAATGATATAATGTCCATATATATACAATTAGAGATACATTCACTAATCATATGGAACATTACACTCCAATGAGGTTAAACACCTCAAAACAAGCGTTCGGAGTGACCCGGGTGACATCTTCGGATTTGTAATGACACAAGGGACTTGGGACTTGAGTTTACTCCCCATAAGTAAACATTTTAAAGAGTTTACAACAATGGAACACCCACATACATGAGTTTACGGCCGTAAACTCATGTGGGTGAGGTTTTGGTGTTTTAAGGGCTCAAATGGACTTAGGGATTGCTAGGAATGATTATCTAAACACCTTGGAACACTTGAAATGGATTTAAAACACTTAAAACATGAGTTTACGGCCACACTCTTTGAGTTTACGGCCGTAAACTCACAATGGCTTTGAAAAATTGATTTAAGCTACTTAGGGTAATCACATGTGATTCAAACTAATTTTCTAGGCATTGATATGATTTTAGAACATCAATTAAGACCTTTGTTGGAGTTTACGGCCTAGAGGAATGTTCTAAGGCCGTAAACTCTCTTTTACCTTTGAAAAAGATAGTTTTTGGTGCTTAAAACAATCACATGTGATTCTAGAATTTTGTACAAGCCATTTGGGTGTGTTTGATGCATCTTAAACATTGTTTTATGAGTTTACGGCCAAGGGTATGTTCCTAGGCCGTAAACTCTCATAAATCATACTTTTGTTGTGTTTCAATCCTTTAAACCATTTTTAGATGCATCTAGATTTTACCACAAAGCCATAGATTGAGTTTGGAAGCATTTGAACATGTTTAAAGGCCTTAAATCACCCTTTTAGAGGAGTTTACGGCCCAAGAGAGTGTCTTGGCCGTAAACTCTTCTTTGTTACTCAAAAATCAAGTTTAAAGTGTTCCAAGTCTAGATTAGCAAGTCCAAGGTTTATGTCTAAGTCCCAACTAGGTTTTGGAAGGGTTAATTGGCTTAAATACCCCTTGTATATGAGTTTACGGCCCAAGAGAGTTCCTTGGCCGTAAACTCACTTTTGTCCTTCTAAATCCATGTTCTACATGTTATAAGTTCATCCCTTTAAGCCCTTAAGCCATATCTAGTGTCCAACTATGCAAAGGAAGGGTTTTAGGGCTTAAAAACCCTTGAAATGTGAGTTTACGGCCCATGAATGTTCCATGGCCGTAAACTCATGAATGTTGGCCTCTTTCATGATTTGAACTCGAATTTGGATGCCAAATATGATAGAGATTAAGGCTAGGAAGGTACCTTAGAGATTAGAAGCCTTAATTTTGAGTTTTGATCTCTTAAACTTGGATTAGGAGAGAGGTGGGTAATGTTTAGTGATAATTTGACCAAAGGCTTCAAATGAAGTCCTAAACACGTTTATATAGTGTTTAAGTTTTGGACACGGTGGAATTTTACCCGATACCGGCGTTAGACGGGGTTTTTGGTCGTACCCGATTAAGTTACCGTAACCCGATACGGTAAATTCTAGAATTATTCCGATCACCTAAGTTGGGTGTTAAATTGATTTCTAAATGTATTAAGACACCCATTAAGTCATTTTAAATGTGTACTAATTAATGACTTAATTAAACGGAGAAATCGGAAATCGGAAATTGGAACGATGATCGGTTGCGCGAGTTGATTTATGAAAAAGTTACTTTTAAAAAGAAGCGGAAATTTCGGGTTGTTACAGTTTTTGAGTGAGACGCTACTATTCATTAGCTGAGTTTAATTACTTAGCCCGCCCCACACTGCTATAATCTTTAACATTCGGAGCGAGGTACATATGTATAGATCTATATGGGGTCGACAACCCCACCTGCGGTTGCTAGCTACAACCATCGACTGATCAATCGAAGCAGGTGATATGTGTCTATGATCGTTACTATGACGTCCAATGAAGCGTCGTAGGGAGGGGTACTTTTCGTCCATAGCTCGATTATAGAACTCACTAATAACATTAACACGAATCTCTCTCCCTTTTTCATTTCAACCATAGGTTTGGTTGTTGTCAGAACTATTTTTAAGTATAGTGGTTACTTATACAATGGATATATTTAAACTTTCATAAAGTTATTACAAACACAAATTTCTCTTTCTCTTACTACAACCATAGGCTTCGTTGCCTTCAA